TCGACTCTGAGGATCCCCCACAGCTGTTGTTGTACTTGTTGTCGTACGACTGCAGCTGCTGCTCTGGCTGCCATTGCTGCTGCCTCCTCGTTTGACATGCGGGTTGGCGAGGTATGCTGCGTCGAGTTGTGTTGTGTTTGATGTGATTGTTGCGGGAGCTGTGTTTGTTGATTTTGCAGCTGCTGCTGTCGACTTGTTTGCTGGTTTGGCGGGGGCTGTCCAGTAGCCACGGGTTGTCTTGTTATAGGTCCATCGCTTGATCCTCCTGCTTCGCCCACAGTTGGCATCGCTAGACTAGGACGTGTTCGCGCCGCGATCATTGCCGCTGCCGAAATGGGAGATCCGGTATTAAGCGGTGTCGTCGTTGAATTTTAGGTGGGCGGGGCAGAGCCGGAGTCTGCGTATCGTAGTACGTATGTTGTGCTCGCCACGTCCCCCTATGGATCCGCCGGCGATCCTCTTCAACGGAGACGACATTCGTTCGGGCGGGTAGTGTGGGCTGGTCCCATCGCACCCAAATCGTGGCTGTAGTGAGACTAGCCTCCACTATCCCCATTGATTTCCATATTGGTCTATGTTGTATTGTCTGTACTATGCGTTCTCCTATTGGTCCTAGCATAATATCTAGTACCTGTTTCCTGATCTCGGGCCATTTTGAGGTCGCTCTTTCTCAGAAAAAAGGTAGTAAATAGACCGACCAGGTTAACCCGGTTCGGTCATTGTTGTATAGAGTCTATAAGATGTGATTGCGGCTATGATTATGGCTAATTGAGCATTTGAGCTATTGAGCATAGTAGTGGGTGCGGTACCGGTAGTGGGTGCGGAACCTGAACGATCCACTGAGAAGTTGACTAGGGTGACTAGATGAGGGTGCCCCGAAATACCGGGGAAGGCAGGGTTTCACTGGGTACGGCCACGGGTGAAGATATGCCCCTGTACATATCCCTCCTAAAGCACGAGACCCTAGTATAAAGCTCGGTCTCTCACCCGATTCTGCGTTTTGGGGGAGCGGGTAGGATTCAAGAAACTCACGCTAAACCATATATCGAGCACACACGATGGGGGGCAGGCATGCGATGGCCTGACCAGGCGGCTGGCTGAATATGGTTCCGTTTTCCACGCGCCTTTGCCGACCTTTCGCGCCAACGCGCTTAATCCGGGGGATCAGGGTTGATCAGGGTTGGCGCACCTGTCTTTTGTTTTCAGCGACTTGGCATTGCCGAGGTTTCGCGCGACTGCCGTCCTGCTTTCTGCTGAGTAGGTAAATGCATTAGCAGACATGTCGAAAGAGCAGTTGGCTGGCATTAAGTGTCAGGCAAAGTGCCTGAGTCGGCAGGGGCTTTCGTCACCCTCCATTTCTCCTTCACCCCTCGTGGGGCCGCAATACAGCTGTAGCTGCTAAGAGCGAGTTGTGTATGTATTCATTCAGGATTTGGTCGGGCCGTTTCTCGTTCAGCCCCATTATCCTGACAAGTCAACGACGCCTCGCTGAGGAGGGCGTGCCCTCGATAGAGTTAGGAAAGTCGAAGTGCGCGTAAAGGCGGATGGAGGTGGGAAGGGGACATTAGAAGGGCTCGGCAAAGTCAGGGAAGGTATGTGCTCGGGCCGGAAGGTTTCTCTTCCGGAAGGTTTCCCTTCCGGAAGTTTTCCCTTGCGAAACAGAAACTATGCGACAGTGTGATGTCATAATTATACTCGCACTACCCAGACTCGACTTGGACTCAGACCCGACTGTACCGACCGTTTGGCAAACGGAAGGTGTAACACAGTAAAGGCCTAACCCGGGATACTCAGATGGGCCTTGCGTCGTTACAGAAGGCCACTTATGAAGTCACGTTGCAGAAGCACGCGCCGTTTTAGGAACAGGTTCAGGTATGTATTCTGGATTTCGCAGAAGCTGCACAAACATGTCTAGATAACGGGAATGTACAACACTTTGGTCAGACTTCCGTGCTGACGCGGCAATTCCGAACATCGGAGCTCACCTGCTCTCCTCTCCCGGAGTGTTGAATACATCTGCTTTACCACCCTTGCTTTACCACCCTTGCTGCGAAGATGCAAAAGATTATCTGTGCGTTACATTAAAAAACCGTGTTTGGGGTCACTTCGTCTCCACACAGTTCTGTAAAGCCGCGTGTGTGTGTGTGTGTGCGTGTGTGTGTGTGTGCGTGCGTGCGTGTGTGTATAACGGACCAAACATAATATCTCGCCCGGCTGAGACACGAAGCCTCCCTGGAGCGGACAAACCACCTTTTTATACAGCAAAAGCTGCAACCACAAATTTGCACAGTTTACACACGTTTTAGCTCTTCATTCAAACTACTTCCGAACCGCGTGTGAATGGCTAAAAACCCTAAAGTTAGGGCACCTAAAACAGTTTGTGAACTTGAAATTTATTTCTGTACAGCGTATTATAATTAAATCAAATCTAAGATGTATACATGGGCAGTCTTGTTGGGAAATTTTCATCTGTCAACATCAGTTGAGGATGCGTTTGAGGCCTGGGCCGCCTGGGAAGCCAAAGCCGCGGGCCGCGGAAAGCTATCTTTCCGCACAGATGCATGTGAACACAAACTCTTCGGTGACCGATGGAAGATTGGAGTAGCTTTTAGATGCAATCGCCGAGCGGTGGGGGAAGGCCAAAGCCATGGCCCGCTTAAAGCTATCTTTGCTGACTGACTGACTGACTGACTGACTGACAGCAGTGGACCTCGGGGGGCCCCCCAAGGCACAAAACACAAACACATACATACATACATACATACATACATACATACATACATACATACATACATACATACATACATACATACATACATACATACATACATACATACATACATACATAACGTACATAACGTACATGCGTACGTACGTACACTAAATGAAGTCAGACCTTTTAACACGAAGTCAAAATATCCACAATCCCACAGCCCGAAAGAATAATGACAAGGATAACAACTAGAGAAAAAGAATGACATCCTGTACGGAAGAAAGATGTAAGGAAGGAAATCCCCTCTAGAGCCATTTCTGCGCGCCTGCTCTACCTGTCGCTGTAGCTGCTACAACAGCTGCTGTTGTTATGTCATCCCCTTCCCTCTTCTACCTACCTCCACCCACTTCTATCTTTTTCCCCCCCCCCAAAAAACGTAAACAGCAATTTGCGCAGCGAATGGAGGGGCAACCGAATGCGGCTTCTCCGTAGAACCTCTACACGACACCCACACACACAACAAGGCTCCCTCGCTCGCAGCACATGTACGGCACATCTTATACGTGTCTTGCCGTACCGTACGACGAACGGTACGTCACAGGCGCTCTCTTTAGTGTTCACATGATCTTGCCCGCCGGCCTCCGTCACTTCCTGCTTTCTCCCTGCGCATATCGTCAATGTCCCGTGTGCCATTTGACTGTACGACATCCCCCTTGGTGGGAAAACACGGGGGGAAAACACTCCCACCCGCAACGCGCCGTTTATCCCCAAATTTCAAACCACAGCAAACCAGATCAGGGCACAACAGAAACTTTCATCCTTGGGGGGTTGGGGGGTGGAGGGGGGTTGGGGGGTGTCACGCCAAGGTTGCCCGCTTCTGCCCATCGTGATCCACAGAACGCGAACCCGGCGCCTCCCGATCCCGTCGAAACTTGTCGTACAACGCCGCCAGGCGGGCGGCCTCCGCCGCCGGCAGCGACGGCCGTGCCGCTGCCAGGGCCCGTTGCAGGTGTCGCATGCAGATCTGCGGCCCCGCCGCTGCCAATGCCGTACTACCAGTACTGGAGCTCGTACCCGTACCCGTACCGGTATTCGTATTCGCACCATCTGCAGTGCCGCTGCCGCTGCTGGGTCCGCCACCGTCTCCGCCGCTACTGCCAGCAGCGGGCGGCCCGTCAGCCTCCCGCTGCTGCAGGGGGAGCCCCCGGGCAGTAGCGGCAGCAGCAGAAACCCCAGCGACGTCCTTGGGGGGCAGGGAGGGAGAGGCGGCCGTACTGGGGGCTGTCCTCCCCGGGGCCCCGTTGCGATTGCGGACCTCCTGCCGCCTCTCCTCCTCCATTTCCCCCCTCTCCTCCTCCTCCTCCTCCTCCTCCTCCTCCTCCTCCTTCGCCGCCGTCGCCGCTGCCGCCTCCTGCTGCTGCCGCTCCGCGCTCTCGTTAATGGCATGCAGTTGCGCCTCCGACAACACCGCACCTAGATCCGCACCTGTGCAGATTGATAGAAAGACAGACAGACAGACAGACAGACAGACGGAAACAGGAATGTACTATGTAGGTAGGCAGGAAGGTAGGTAAGTGGGTGAAGTGGTACGACCGCCCTTACCTGTCATTCCGTTTGTATCCTCCGCCACCTGATGCAGGTCCACGTCGGGGCCCAGGTGCAGCCGGCGACTGAGGGCCCGAAGGATCTGAACGGAGAAGGGGGGAAGGGGGAGGAGAGGACGGATGAGCATGTGTGTGTGTGTGTCAGCGTGTGCGTGTCAGCGTGTATGTGTGTAACACCCACACCCACATACACATACACTTAAACGTCCAACCCAAACATACATACACCCCCAACCCCCAACACCCACATCCAGACGGCTTCTCTCCCCTTCCCTTTCCTACACACGTCGCCTTCACCACCACACTTCCCCTCCACCACCCCCCAACCCACCACCATCCCCACCTTCAGTCTCTCCCCCCCGCTCTCCGGTGGTCCGCAGAACAGCAGTCTGTCCAGTCGTCCGGGTCGCAGCAGGGCGGCGTCTATGAGGTCGGGTCGGGAGGTGGCGGCCAGCACCACCACACCCCGCAGACCCTCCACACCGTCCAGCTCGGTGAGCAGCTGGTTGACCACGCGGTCAGTGACACCTGCCACCCCGGGGTGACATGGGGTTGGGGGGGGGGACGTGGGGTGGGAGTTAGTGGGGTTGGGGGGGGGGATGCAGCGGGAAGAAGGGGTTAACGGCGATGAGGGGAGAGGGGGGAAGACGAACCACAAACGATTGAAGCTGCTGCCAGGGAAAGAGTGTACAAGAAATAGGACTGACCAGAAGGCGTTCTTGAAGGCGGCGACCTCGGGATGACGTAATGAAGATGATGTCGGAAAAACTACCTACCTAGCCGCCAAGACTAAAATAAGCGCGGAAGAAAAGCATTAAATCCAATCCGTAAAGAAATAGAGGTAGGTGTAAAGGCGGCGAAAAATTAACAAACTGCTGACGTGAAGCTGGAATAAAGTTTGCCGCCGGCCTGGCGGCGGCATTGATGAGGTAAGGCCAAAGAACTGGCTGATGAGCTGGTAATGAAAAGTTGGTGATATGCAAGTGTTCCTCCCAACCCCCCAACAACGCGCGACCAACCCGACCAACCCGACTATCCTAGTCCGGCTACAGCCGACTGACGCAACGCGAAAAACCGACAAAGCTCGAGGGGGGTTTCAAAGAGAAGGAATGGCAGTCTTGGAGTCCCCGCATCCTCTCTTCACAAACATATACATACATATATACATACTACATGCATGCATGCACATATATACGTGCATTTTGTGCTGTTTTATTTGTTTGTTTGAATAAATTTAATGCAAACAAACAAACAAAGCAGGACAAAACGAATACACGCTGGGGACGTTACACCCGGGGGGCCCACCTGTGGAGTCATGGCCACGAGGCGGTGCGATGGCGTCGAACTCGTCGAAGAAAAGTACGGCAGGTGCCGCTGCTGCCGCCCTCGCGAAGAGGTCCCGTACTGCCGCCTCGCTGGCGCCAATGTACTTGTTGAGCAGCTCCGGGCCCTTGACGGTTAGAAAGCTGACATGACGAGGACAACCCGAGGGGGGGGAGGAGGAGGAGAAGGGGGGAAAACACGACACGCCCAAAACACGTCCACGCACATAGACGCGGGGTTCAAATTTTCCAAATTTTCAGGTAATTCCCGGGTAGGGAAAAGGAAGAGAAAGGAAAGTGGCACCTCCAAAAAGGCAAGGAAGGAAAGCCAAGGCCAACACTTGACTACCCACCTCCCTCCTCACTCCCTCACCCCGCTCCGGCCCTTCTGCACCTTCCTCATCGCCCCATCTCCCACCCACCCATCCTCCACCTGCCAAAGCTTCTCACCGCACGGGTGCGATCTTGGACACCGCCGCCACCGCAGCTGCCACCACGTGTGTTTTTCCGCAGCCCGGTGGGCCGTACAACAACGCGCCGGTCCTCAGCCTCAGCGGCGCCGCTCCCACCAGCTCCCGGTACTTCAAGGGCAGCAGCAGGGCCTCGCGCAGGGACGCCACCACCTGGCTGAGACCGCCCACGTCCTCCCAGCCCTCCGCCTACATAGGTAATGTGTGTGTATGTGTGTGTATGTGGCGGGGGGAAGGATTGGCGGGGGGAGGGGGGGAGGGGGATCCTATATACGCACATATACACATACATGCAGGCTGCAACAACACAGCAGACCTATCCCGCACACCACGAGGGCGGCCCCTCACCACACCCATCCATCCATCCATCCATCCATCCATCCATCCGTGCAGCATGCATGCATGCATACATGCATACATCCACCTTACCTTGCCCATCACCGCTGACGCCTGCTGCACCCCCCAGAACGCGGCGGGCACGAACCCCTCCAGCGCCTCCCGCAGATCCCCCCGGGACACCGCGAGGGAGATCAGCCCCCCCTGGAGCCCGGAAGAGGAGGAAGGGGCACCTGAACCAGGATGCACTGGAGGAGGGGGGGGGCCGCCGGGGGGAGGTGCAGGGGCGCCGGTAGCAGTAGCTGTAGCAGCTGTAGCAGCAGTAGCAGCAGCGGCGGAGGCAATGGGAGTGGAGATGTGTGCCGGCGGAGGCAGTGAGACACCCGGGTAGTTTGTTGCCGGTTGCTGTTGGAGGTGCTGTTGCTGTTGCTGTTGCTGACGTTGCTTCAGTGTTTGTTGACTCAGCTGGTGACGCAGTGCGATGTGTACGGCCCTGAGGGTGCGGAGAGGAAGTAATACATCATCATCATCATCACCATCATCATCATCATCATCATCATCATCATCATCATCATCATCATCATCATCATCATCATCATCATCATCATCATCATCATCATCATCATCATCATCATCATCATCATCATCATCATCATCATCATCATCATCATCATCATCATCATCATCATCATCATCATCATCATCATCATCATCATCATCATCATCATCATCATCATCATCATCATCATCATCATCATCATCAGCAGCAGCAGCAGCAGCAGGTGGAGGTGCGGGGTGCAGCAGGAGGTAATACTGTTTTGAAGGCGACTAAGCAGAGACGTGGCGAGTCTCGGGAGGTCTCAGGAGATGAGGTGAGGGGGGGACAGGGGGGCGGGGACGTGGGAAAAACACGGAGCTCCTCCTCTGGGGGGCCCTTGGGCCCTGATGCAACCCACATCGGGACGGTGACCCATGGGTCTCCCCATGGTCCTCCCGCCCCCCTCCCTCCCACCCTTTCAGCAGCGCCCTCACCGGTCCAGCAGCAGCCGCAGGTCCACACCCTCGAACCCCTCCGCCGCCCCCGCCACCTCCGCCAGCTCACCCGCGTCCACCTCCACACCGCGATGGCGGGCGGCGGCAGCCAGCATGGCCGCACGACCCACCGACCCAGGGGTCGGTAGCCGCACCTGCGTGTGTGTGGGGGGGGATAAGGGGGGGCAGGGCAGGTGCGGCAAGGGTGACTCAATCAATACAGTTCTGGGCAGACTGACAGACAGGCAAACAGACAGGCGCAACGTCCAAAAACCGAAGGCCTGCTCTATAAAAAGCGGGGCAGGTATTTGACCACACATAAACCACGCGGCCGGTTAGCTTTTCCCCACAATCCGGGGCCGGAGGATTGCAATACAGCCACCAGTGCTTAACAACCCACATAGTTGCAGGAATACACAACACAAACATACACACACACACGCACAAGCATACCTCGAAATCCAGTCGGCCCACTCGACGCAAGGACGGGTGCAGCGACGCGGCATCACGAACAGAAGCCACGACGGCGACCGCTGCAGGCGCCGACGTCGCGGCGGCGGCTGCAGCCTCCGCATGCTCCGCTACTGGCGGCCCCGCCGCCCCCGCCGCCGCCGCTAGCTCGTCCAGCAGCGCCGAAAGCCAGTCCGCCAGACGAGCTGCGGCAGCGGCGCCGTCGGCATGTTGCATGCCGTACTCTGGACCATCCTGAAGCGCGGCAGTAGCGGTGTCATATCAGTACCAGCAAAGATATCATCATCACAGATATAGCAGTTACAGTCAGTAGCAGCAGCAGCAGTTACAACGGGAGCGGGTGTAATTGTAACGGTAACGGTAATAGAGGCAGTGCCGTAACCTACGACTCCCTAGTCCCAACTGCCAACTGCCAACTCCCCACCGTTGCACTTGGGCAAATCAGATCCAAGTCATCCAGCATCACGAGGCAGGGGGCGCACTGGAGCGCCTCCGCGGCCAGGGTGGCCAGGGCTGCGGTGGTGGAGGTGTGGGAGCCGCCTGAAGGCACCCGGGGGGCGAAAATTACATTACAGAAACACGGGGGTGAGGGGTACATATATATAGAGAGAGGGAACGCGGGGGAAATCATAGGATGACAACGTCAACGTCACCCGCGGCCCGAACGAACACCGTACATTCACCTCAACCTCACTCCTACGATAACTCCCACACCTACACCCCTCCACACCCACACCCACACCCACACCGACTCATACCCACACCCACACCCACACCGACTCATACCCACACCCACACCCATACCCATACCCACACAGCGGTTCGTGCCGGGCTGCTCGACCCCTTGCGCCCACCAGCCCCTCGAGCACAACTTCCTTCTTGCGGCTCAGCTACTTTAATACATACATACATACACATACGTACCTGCCAGTTGACCACACCTCACATGCAGTACATGGGCCTGGTAGACCGGGTGTCGCTCCACAATGTCCCCCAGGGCCGCCAGCAGCTGGGAGCGACCACTGCCTGAGGGGGGAGAGGGGAGGGTGGGGAGGGTGGGATAAGGGGGGAGAGGGGAGGGTGGGGAGGGGGGAGAGGGGGGGGGGGAGGGGAGGGGGGGGAGGGTG